AAAAAAAAAAAAAAAAAAAAAGGAAAAACAAGAAAAAAAGAAAACGACGTCGTTCGGAATTATTTTCTCAGCCTTCGTTTCCCAGGAATTTTGGTATGCGGAAGAAAAGCTATGTAGCAAGGTTCGCAGAACGATTGAGCGAAAGGTGGAGAAAAGAGAGGGGAGGGAAGAGCGTGTGTGCGTATACGTTATCTGTATGATGAAGGCAGCCGCGTCGAGCAATGTACTTACGTATACCGGCGAGGAGAGAGCTAGTTGAACGAGAGAGGGGTGAAGACTAACGAGGAAGAGACGGAAGGGAAAAAGAGAGAATGAGAGAGGGAGGAGGGAGAGAAGAGTGCGGAACTTTTCGGATACGGAGCGGAGGTAAATGCGATTGGTAATCAAAGGAGTGACGACAGTCTGACGATTCGGTGTTCGGTATTTGGTAAATATTCGGAGTACGAGGAGTTACCCCTACTCGATCGAACTATCACTTCTCCCATCGTGAACTTTCTAATAATTATACAATGTGCACGTATGTACGCGCCACATACTTTGTACTTCGTCTTTTCGTATCTCCTTTTTAACTCTCTATTTGCACTCTCGTGTTCACACCATCGTCATCGTCATTGTCAACTTACTGACCTCGTTCGAGCCACGACTCTTTCCGTTATCGTCCGCTCGCGGTACTTTGACTGCTGTCACATTATCGGGAAACTAGCGTTAAAAAAAAAAAACCAGGTCAATCGCGCCTTCGCCTATACGTGCGATTCTTTCATGCGAGATGAACCGTTCGTTGCGAAACTTCCTGCGTTGCGTGGATTCGCGATTCCTCGCAAGTAAGTACATACGAGGAATGGCGAAAGTTTCGTAATCATATCTTTTTTCACATACATCATCCGCGAACGCGATCCTACGAGTATCGTTTCAGATGAAGTCAGAATCGCGAACGTTACTCGTTTGCAATTCACAGCCTATTGACTGACAAAGGATAGCACGTCAGCGGCGGATAACTCAATGCTCAGGATTGTGACGTCCTCGACGCTGAAGGGCAAATGGCAAGAGTCAGCCAGAAGTGAAAGCTGTGTTTGCGCAAAGAACAAACAGCGATGCGTTCAAAAGACCCGAATGATCTTTTTTCTTGATATCCCGAGACTGTTGGCTGTTTTAAAAATCGATCCTTTTCCTTCGAGAAATGAGAGCCTCCGTCAGATTTTCATGTTTGATCGAGGGGGAAGGGAAATGGCGTGAAATTAACGCGTCTGGTCAAACGGAATCGAACGAAACGGAATGGATGAGTAGCAGAATGAAACGAAGCGAAACGGGCCGTAATCATCCGCGCGTTGAAGAAACGACGAGTGTAAGAAAAGAAAAGAGCCGACAGTCTCTCGTGCGAGAAGTCAACCGCGTTCTCAAGGAAGCGAGGAGGGTAATAAGACCCTCGGCTTCACGACTCGCGATTCGCAGCTCGTGAGATACTGTCTCATTAATTGGAAACTACCGAGCGAAAGCTTCGTTAATTCGGCAAAGAATGAAAACTGTGCGTGTACTTACTGTCGACGAACTTACAAGTTCAAGCAACTGCGACTGCGCGAATAAACTCGCGCGTGTTTGCGCGCGCAAATCAAATTTAAAAATAAAAAAAAAAAGAATTTCCGAATCGGACGTCTTGTTTCTCGTACAGCTTTCACGTTCGTAAAACACGGGAGAAAAGGTTGTCGATTAACCTTGGACAGCTCTCTCGGTCGTATTATCCTTAGATAGCCCCACATCGTTGCACCGAACCTGATAAGGTAAACCGGTAAGAAAACAAAACGGCAAAACATTACCAGCAAGGCGGATCGATTTTCTCGTACGACTTGTTCATTTTAATCACGTTTAGGCTGTAACCTAGGGGGAATTTCAGATCGAGAATTGCTCGGCGCGAAACAATCTCTCTCACTTATTTTGTCGCAGAACAAAAATTAAACTATCGCCGAAAGAAATGGGAAAAAAAGTACCCGGAAGCTTCCTCGTGCTTCAACAGTCCGCTAGCTATGAATCCAAAGAAAAGAAAAAGAGGAAAAGAGAGAGAAAACAAGAGAACGAGAATTGAGGAAACGTCACGTTGCAAAAATGGTCAAAGTGTAAACAAAGCTAGTGGTCGCGGCAGAAGTGCATTGAGCGGGAAGCACCTAACGGGCCAACGTCACGGCGCGTTAACCTTCTTCCGATTTCGCCTATTCCTCCGGTATTTCTCCCGACTCTCGCGACAATAATCGCGATCGTACAGATTCTGCACAACCGACAAATCGAGAATTAACGAAGAAACCAGCGTATAGAAATTTTCCCGTGAAACCGTTTTCCCTGTTTGTTCATTTGTGCGATGTTAATATCTCTGCCGCTTTCGTTTCGTCGCACAATCAACGAAATTACGCCCATTGTATCGAGGAACAGGGACACGGTTTTTTCCACGAGTATTGTTCCCAATCTTAGAATCTACCGTGTACATTATCTCTTATACGACACTCTCATCGTTTTCGTTGACCATTTCTTAAAATTTCTCTTGCATCGTGCCGCGCGAAAAGTCAATACGTTCGAAAGGTGGCCGCAAATCGCAAATAGCCGGAATACAAATTCGCATTGTCTTTGTTCCCTTAATAAATGTCAAAGGATTTCAAGGTTCTCGTCCTTTAAATCATTGAAAACAAAAAAAACCTCAAAATAACACACTATAATTCGTTGATGTAGAGACTGAAAACTTCGACAGCATGATCGCGATGAAATGAACATATATGTTTTTCGTTCATTTCCTCCGAGTTATTTTATTTATACTTGCCTTAATTAGCGCGGTAGCGTAGGATACACAGCAGGCAACAGGTAAAAATCAAGTTGCGCGGTATTATTCACTATCGCGAATATTTCGATACGATACGATACGATACTTCTCTCTTCTTAGAGATCGAACGACGACTACTGTAGTACGCTGTAGTAGCACACGCGCATTCCCTCGACAGCAACTTAATTTTAAATGTCGAATGCGCGAAACCCGTAATCGTGCTTTTGGTATGCGAAACGATTACGAATAGGCAAAAATCGGGTGATGAGAAGCAAACGAGAAAGTAGGTATGGCAACGGGAAAAATGAGGTACAAAAGTGGGAATGAGAAAAAAGATCAGAGGGTGGGAGAGAATGGAAAAATAGTCGCAAAAGTAGAAAAAAGTAGGAAAAAGAGAAAGGAGGAGAAAAGAGGAAGGAGATAACAAAGAGCGAAATCGTTGAATTGCACGATGCGTTCAAATGGTAGGGAGGCTCGAAAGAGAGTGCGATCCGCGCGGTCCTCATCCTCGAACGCGACGCGAAATCGGAACTGAGCGACGGTGGCGGCGAGGACGGCGATTCTCGAATCCCCACCTCTGCGAACACTGGTTAAAACCGTTCTCCTACCATCGCTCGTCTTTCATCTATCTACCAACCTGCCTACTATCTCTCCATCCTTTTCACCTAACCATGTAACGCGTAGCATTGTCCCTCCCCCGACCTCTGCCTCCCTCCTTACGTATCTCTTTCCTTGCCGCATTCCTTTCAACGTAGCTTCTATACGAGTGTGTCATGTGACGTTCCTTCTGAAGTTCCAACTAGTAGACGTAGCTGTTCGACGTTTCGCCACCTTTTTTTTTTTTTTTTTTTTCGCTCAGATCAGAACGCATCTTCCGAGTTTCTTTCGGAATCGCACTTCGACATCTTTATATAAGCAAACGTTATTCTCCTTTTCATCGTTTGATCCCGAAATTAATATGAAACGAACGTAATTAAACGAACCAATTATATAAATACCTAAATCTTTGTTTCGTAGCCTCTCGTTAGCAACTACTATTTATGGTGAAAAGAATTTGCTTTCACGCAAATAGATGTAATGTCCTGCATACAATGAATATATAATTTAATCTATGAACATTTAATCTATGATTTTTTTAACGTTTATTTAAACGTTAAATTACATTAACGTCGATAAGCATTTGCTTGTTTAAACTCGCTATGTAGAAATATTTAAATATTTAACTAAAATTACTTATGAGGTGGCCAAGTCCATTGATTTGGTGGAGCTTTTTCTATTAAATTTTCCCATGGTTTTTGACTTAACACATCTTGCATTAAAGACAGTTCGTTTCTCGCGCTAATTAATACTTCTTCTATTTGTCCTTGTCCTATCTTTTCTTCTATAACGGCAATGTCTTCATTCTGCAACATCAATTTGAAACGAATATATCATTCAAATATTTCCCTTACGATTCAGAGATGTATGGAAGAATCATGAAATAAAACATAACCTGTTCCAAAATATTTTTTCTTTCTCTAGCCAAATCCTCAATGGCTTTCCTGTAAACATAATCTTTTGGAAAATTAACAGCAAATCGCGACATTCTATCGTATATTATACGAAGTTGTTCGCGAGCATTTTCAGACACGGCAAGTCCTGTTAATCCCGTAGTCTATGAACAAAAATATTATTAAAAATACATTAATATTTATCGAAATGAATCGTTAATCGCAAAACATGATGAAAAGATGTTAGGATATTTATCATATCGTTATTGATATGGTTATGTTTTGAATGAGAAAACAGTCATTTCGAAAATAATAAAAAATATCCAATTATCGGCGAGTCACTAATTGCATCGAGTTACATATGAATACCTTACCGTTTTCAGTACTTTTGCCATGATCGTGCATACACGATCTACTTCAAATAAAAACTAAGTCAGCGATCAACTTCCAATTTAACCCAACCTAGAAAACTGTATAACCTATTTTCTGTAGTGGTAACACTGTACTTCTGCACCACCGCTATCTCGATGATAAACTGTCAACTACACTTGTTACGCATTTAAATTGGAAAATTGTGTGTTTCTTAAACATCATTTAACAACTTCCCATTTTTTTAAACCGAATAATTCTCTATTAATTTTTCTCATTTCTACATCTTAGTTTTTTCATTAGCGAACTGATTTATGAAATTATGAATAAAATTCTTTCTAAACCCGCTTTCTTTTTTATCGTACATACATATACATATACATATATATATAAACGAAAGGGACGAAATACATAACGAGAATCACTTTAAAGATAAATCATTTATTTTTTTGTTTAAACGATTAAATGTTTATCGATTAGATTTAGCGACACGTTCAAGTTCGTCTTTCTTTTTAATCGCGTAAGAATTAGACGAACCTTTGGCAGCGTTGATAAGTTCATCAGCCAAACATTCGGCAATTGTCTTAATATTACGGAACGCAGCTTCCCTAGCACCAGTACATAATAACCAAATGGCCTGATTTACTCGTCGTAGCGGAGAAACATCCACCGCTTGTCTTCTGACTGTACCAGCACGACCAATGCGGGTAGAATCTTCTCTTGGTCCTGAGTTGATGATAGCTGTCACAAGAACCTTTCAAACACACACGGAAAGACATATGCAAATATATTTTCTTTCTTACATATAGAATACTCTCAATACTAAATATATAAAAAAAATGACAACATATTGATTACCTGTAAAGGATTGTCACCTGTCAACAGGTGAATTATTTCAAAGGCGTGTTTTACAATTCTTACTGCCATTAACTTTTTGCCATTATTTCTACCATGCATCATCAAAGAATTTGTAAGACGTTCGACAATAGGACATTGTGCTTTTCTAAATCGCTTTGCGGCATAACGTCCAGCAGAATGTGGTAGGTACTTTGCATTCTTTTCTTTCACGGCAATGTAATCTTGTAACGACATATCGTTCACCTGCACATCGTCACAATTCCAACGACCAAATAATTTAATTTCTGGCAATTCAGCAGAGAGTGCCACTGGCAAAGTTGTTGTGGTAGGTACCACTATATCATCATATGCTTCCATGTCAGCCATGATTTAACTGTAAAAATATCATTAAAATTACCATTAGAAACTTGGAATCTCGCGTTTGTTTATATATAATAAATTGCATAGAAAATGATCAGGAAGAAACAATATTTTATAGTTATACAAAAAATTCTAAGAAACAGCGTACAATATTGCAAATGATATGCAATGTGCAATTTGTTCTGGTTAAATGTAGATTAACATAATACATTGAATAATAATAAGAGATATGATTTACATAAACAACGTATAAACATAATTGAAATATAAAGGGTGACAGAAAATCGTAACAGCACAAAATAGATGAAACCATGTAAATACACAACACAATACTTTCTCTTTAATTAGATATTTTCAACGTCTTTTCATCTTTACCAACGAAACACTACAACTTTGTTGATACAAAACGTTGTATACGAATATTGTACACGAAGCGTGTGGCCATGTGGTCAAATGCGTGTACGAATCGGAGAGTATTTGGCTGGTAAATTTTAAACTGTACACATTTAATTATCAACTATCTTCGTTACATATCCAAAATTTTGATATCACTTCTTCCAACACAACAAAGAACAGACAAAGTTGTCAAATCTTTGAGTCCCTTACCATACAAGTTTCGTTCACGTCTTTCTTGGAGCAAGCGTGAACAGGAAAAGGCCATAACACTAGTGGCGCTTCAGTCTGTAACTGCCGGATTTCGGCGTACTCTAGTCAATTTCAATCCACAACGACTCAATCTTCGATCTTTATATTTTACATACAGATAATATAATAGGAGATTTAACGCGTAATTCATTTTTTTTCGGTTTCGTTGATCGATCGGGTCTCTGTCGCGCTGAGAAAACGCGAATAATTTTCAATGTTGCAGTTTCTCATTTGATCAGCGAGTGTTTACGGCAGTACTGTAAACGCACAAGTAGAGACGATTGGTTCGTGAGTTGTCATTCCAAGCGTGTATTTATGAGCAGTGCCACTTAAATCGCATATTACGCAGTGAATTTTGGTGATGCTCCGTCCGATTATCATAAATGTTTAAGAGTGCAAGTGTGAAACGATTCGTTTTAGTGTATGATTAAGTGTTTGATATCGTGTTTGGGGTTAGTACCGGTTGCCGAATAAACCGGTACATGTCGAGTAGATACGTAAGTTCGCGTTAACTGCGAAAGATGTCACTACTAAAAAATCTGGAACAACTTCCGGTCTTTAGAAGGAAACGGTAAGTATCATGTTATTTGTATTTTTATATTCGATTCTAATTTACTTCTGAACGTGATACGACTTTTTGGGAATAAATTAATTAGATCTCTTCATTGATAGTACGTATATGTGTATAATATATATTGTGCGACATGTCGATGTTTCAAGTTATTAGGTAGTAAGATGTATCATATACATGTGGTATTATTTTTATGAAAATAAGCAATTGATATATTAAAAAGAGAAGTAGGGGGAGATGGAGGGAAAAATCGCTAATCACCGATCACTGTTTAAATAACATGTTGGATATTTCATTTATTACAAGAATGCTTCAATCATTATGACTCCATCAAGTTGATTCTATCAAAGATAATTGCAGTTTTATTGTTAAGTGGATTTGATTTAAAGAGGATAAATATCGACAATAATTTGCAATGCTCTTTTTTGATGGATGTATTACTCAGCAATATCAGTGGAAATATTAAAGTAAAACAAAAAACAAGGGACAAAAATAAACCACTGTTAAATGGTTTATACCATTTATCAAAACAATAAGTTTGTTAATGGGTTTTTGTATGTGTAGTTAGCTATTTTTGTATGTGTAGTTAGCTATTTTTATATGTGTAGTTAGTTATTTGTTTGTTTTAATATCTGATTAAACTTTAAAGCCTGTTATTTGAGGAGAGATATCATTGACGAGAAAGGCATTCGTTCATTAAAGCCGGTTGTTCATACGCAGTTTACAGGCTATATACGTTCAAGAAACGGACTAAACCAACTACAAGTTAAGATGTCATGGAATTTAGCTTGGTTTGTGCATCTGCATCTAATTCAGTTCGGTGCTGATGTTTTTCTTACAATAGAAGCAACGCGATGAAAAGTAGAAGGGCACCGATAGCCGAATCGTGGGAGGGTTCGAATATGGGGTGTATCCTAGCAACTTACCAAACCGCTAGAGGGTAGTCGTTCAGTAACGTAGCTACAGATTTTCCTACCTGCTGTATTGACCATTTTATAGACATTCTGTAATTATTCTTCTTCATTTTCTTTATATATACCGACTCAACTGTCCGTTCGTTGGCAACGTTACCTTTCGCCTATTGTTACCTTATATTGCTGCAATAAACTTGCGTGCCATTAAATGTACTAATACAGTACGAAGAGTAACGAAGGGAAACGGAGGAAGCTGTAATTTGCTTTTAGACGTGTATGTATGTGTGTGTGTGTGTGCGCGCGCGCGTGTATCATGCGTACATTCACTCGTATCGGAAGAAATAACCTGAGAAGGGAGAGGGACAGGATATAAGATAAAGCTGTAAACGCATTTCACAGAGGAGAAACACATTTACGAGGGGATATAGATATATATATAGTATACAGATATACTATATAAGTATATAGTAGATATAGGTATATAATATATATAGACACACGTATATTAGAAAATATGAACAAAATGTATCAAACATGGGTAAATAATATTTTCATCCTGTGTAGTTGTACGAATTGAATAATCATTTTTTCTACAGACTTAATAGCATATTAATAGCATTAGTGTTTTAATACATAATTTATCTTGAAGCAAGAATTATAGATAAACTTTATCCATCGATTAGATATAAAAGTAAAAGTTTGTATAATTTTGAGCAATTATATTATTTAAGTAATATAGAGTTCGAATGAAATCCATAAATAATGTATATAAAAGTGTTTTTTTTTTTTTTTTTTTTTTGCTATAAAACCATTCAACACGTCGTTATCGAGAATTGGAAAAAATAACGAACAATGTCGGGTATAAGTATATATATATTCAAGTAGAAAGAAAAGGACGACCGAGATAAAAATGTAATTAGAGGACGCGTAATGACGTGAAGAAGCAAATCCTATAAAGGGAGAAGAGAAAAGGGGTGCGGAGAATAAGGAAAGAGGAGAAGCTTGACTGGAAAGGAAAACGTTAAATACGTTTCGGACATTTGTACGGAGCAATTAGTATTTACAAA